TTTCCTTTTATTTGTACAAATTCCAGGCCGACTTAATTCGGAGTTCATTGACTTAATTAATACTTGGTTTGGTTGTCCCTAATATGCAAGCTACTTGTTAATTAACCAGCTGGTTGACCAATTTGGGAAGGTTACGGTGGTCCCTTGGGATATATGATGAGACTTTTACTATTCATATCGTCATATGCTACGAAATGGATCACACAAATGTTGAGAATCTTACTCTTGCCCGTTGGCTCTTCACAACCCTTCACAATGTCAACTCCAAGCCCTATATAAATCCCACACTCCCTTTGTACGTTCCTCATACAACACCTCGAGTCCATTTCAGTTCTCTGAGTGCTGTTTCAAAAACCGTTCCGAGTTTCAAAACTCTAAATCCAAACCCCAAAATCCGGAACCCGAAATGGCAGATACCGAAGGTGAACCCGGAAGTTCCATGCATGGAGTGACCGGCAGAGAGCAAACCTTTGCATTCTCAGTAGCATCACCAATTGTCCCAACAGACACGACTGGCAAATTTGACTTGCCAGTCGATTCGGAGCACAAGGCCAAAGTTTTCAAACTCTTCTCATTGGCCAACCCTCACATGAGAACCTTCCACTTGTCTTGGATCTCCTTCTTCACTTGATTTATCTCAACATTTGCAGCTGCTCCTCTCGTCCATATCATCCGAGACAATCTCAACCTGACCAAGCAAGACATCGGAAATGCGGGGGTTGCCTCCGTCTCCGGCAGCATATTCTCAAGGCTTGTGATGGGTGCGGTGTGTGATTTGCTAGGGCCACGCTACGGCTGTGCGTTTCTCATAATGCTCAGCGCACCCACTGTTTTGCATGTCGTTTGTGTCTGACGCTGGGAGTTACTTAGCAGTTAGGTTTATGATCGGTTTTTCCCTTGCAACATTTGTGTCGTGCCAATACTGGATGAGTACAATTTTTAATAGTAAGATTATTGGGCTGGTGAATGGGACTGCGGCTGGGTGGGGTAATATGGGCGGTGGGGCCACCCAGCTCTTGATGCCATTGGTGTTTGACATCATCGGCAGATGTGGAGCAACTTCTTTTACTGCCTGGAGAATTGCATTCTTCATTCCTGGGTGGCTTCATATCATTACTGGAATTATGGTGTTGACACTTGGCCAAGACTTGCCTGATGGGAATCTTGGTGCCTTGCAGAAGAAGGGTGAAGTTGCCAAAGATCAATTCTCCAAGGTTAGTTTTTTTTTAAACAAATATTTTTTTTATTAATTCAATCACTTTCAAAGACCAAGTTGCTAATTAATTTTATTGATGTCTAATTGATCAATTTGATTACTACTGTTCAGGTTCTGTGGCATGCTATCACAAACTATAGAACGTGGATTTTCGTCTTTCTCTATGGCTACTCCATGGTTTGTTGAGTTGTCCATTGATAATGTCATTGCTGAATACTTCTATGACAGGTTACTTTTTGTTTATTTAATTACTATTTTTTTATTATAACTATTTTTACCATATGTTTTGATGAGCAATATAATTAAGCATATATTAGGCAACGTTTTCTAATCATGCATGTATATATAAGTAATGTTACACTTATCACATATTTGTATCATCTCTTTAATAAAGATAGACCCACATGTGTCAGCTAGCATACAATCTCATTAATTTCTTTCTTGAACTGTACTAATTATGTTTATTTTGTTTAATCGAATCAACAGATCTGATCTAAAACTTCACTTAGCCGGCATCATTGCTGCATCATTCGGCATGGCCAACTTTGCGGCGCGTCCCTTTGGTGGGTGCGCTTCTGATCTAGCAGGCAGGTACTTTGGCATGAGAGGCCGGTTGTGGATTCTCTGAATTCTTCAAACCCTAGGAGGAGTCTTCTATATATGGCTCGGCCGAGCCAATTCACTGCCCCTTGCAGTATTTGCCATGATCCTCTTCTCTATAGGAGCCCAGGCTGCATGTGGAGCTACCTTTGGCATCATCCCCTTCATCTCCCGACGTTCCCTCGGCATCATCTCGGGCCTCACCGGAGCAGGTGGGAACTTCGGGTCTGGGTTGACCCAAGTAGTGTTCTTTTCAACCTCAGCGTTCTCAACTGCCTCAGGATTGTCTTGGATGGGGGTAACGATTGTGTGCTGCACTCTTCCTGTGACTTTGGTGCACTTCCCACAGTGGGGGAGCATGTTCCTTCCAGCTTCCAAAGATGTCGAGAAATCGACAGAAGAGTTTTACTATGCAGCTGAGTGGAGTGAGGCGGAGAAGCAGAAGGGGTTGCACCAACAGAGTTTAAAGTTCGCAGAGAACAGTAGGTCTGAGCGTGGTAGGCGGGTTGCCTCTGCTCCAACTCCACCAACACCACACCTTCCCATGTTTAGCCAACAAAGGGAAGGATCAACATGCACCAATTGGTCCAAGTGGAAAACTCGAATTATCAGAAAGAACTGCTTCTACATATATGAATGTCAATCCATATAAAGAAGATGGCATACGAATTGGTACAAGTTTTATTCGTATTATCATCCATGATAAATTTTAATGTATTTACTTTTGCTCTGTATGATTACGAAACTCATTATGTGTTTTCAACCCGACCTGAGTCGACGCCTCGAAGGATCGATGGTTCCTGGTCACCATTAGCTGTTAAATATAAGAATCATTTAGACGTTTTATTTGGGGAGTGCTTCCCTCACCCAAGGTGTGTAGGCTAATCTCAGATTCGCTACAATGCTTATATATGATTTGACCATCAAATTAGTGATTGTACCATTATATTGTAAGCATTGTAGTCAAATCTTAAGGCCTGACCAATCTAATTGCCACCATATCGGCGAATCTTTTACAATCAAAAGAACCATAATCCCGACAACTAGAAATTCAATCACTTCATAATCCGCCACATAAGAGATATTTCGCACAAAATCACCAACAAAACAGTTAAGGGGACACTCTTTACATACAAGTAGTGTCGACTCCTCAGATAAATTGCAAAGGAAACAAATATTGTCCACTACAATAGGTACTCTGGGCACAAAGCTACCAGTTACATCATGATAAATCGCATCGATGCCATCATGAGACATGAACAAAAGGCACAAGCCCAAAAGGGTGAATTTAACACGAAAAAACCTTGAAGGGTAGTGGAAAGTTGAAATGTCCAAAATAACCTTGAAAAAAAAGTTATGTGCAAGCCACATGATTTATTTTGGTAGAAAATTTAATGGAGTTAGATGAGATCATAAAATGATTTTAAAAATTTGACATGACAAATTGCTTTAAATTTTAGTTCATATGATAAACTGAAAAAGGTGTATAAACTCATATGACATTTCAAGACTTTCCCTTGTGTACAGGGGCAAAATATTTTCATGCCAAATAGTGTTAAAATATATTGCTAAACTGTTAATCCAATAAAGTGTAACACTTGTGCAAGCCTTATAATTTGACAAAATAATATGTTAAACAAAGTAAAAACATAAATGTTTATATAGCGCCTGTGTATGTATACATCAATGACACATGACATGTTAATTTATACCAGTAATTTATTGCAACTTGCAAGTTTAAGGTGGCCACGTTAAGCTAAAAAAACACACATGTCCTGCAATTTGCAAGTCAGTCAAGGGCTAACGAGATGGATGACCTTTGACATCCATTACAATTCATCACATAAGTAATATCTTTTATTAAGTTGCCTTACTCGTTATATATACTAACCATTATCAAATTGTGTATTGTTGAACACTTTGGCCCACGAAACTCCTACTTATAATTCCCAGATGACAGGTCAAATGTTTCATCTCTTCTGATCACAATCTGTAGGCTTTTCTTTTCTCATTTATCGACCGCTTGCTCGACCTGTTTGATGGAGACACATAAAATATGATTTATTATGCAATACTTCACCTTTCAATTGCTCATAGACTTCTTTGAGTATTGTTTTTTGAGGGCTTTCGACAACACGACTTGGTATTTTGTAATTGGAATTTGTTGGCCATGCGTTGGAGGGACCTGTAATTGTGGCCTTTATTGTTTGTTTAAGAGATGCGAAAAAGCAATTGTGTTTGCTGGCCATGCCATATTATAAGAGCTTTTAGTATTTTGGAAAGAACTCTCTATGATAAGTACTCCATGCATGTATTGGTCAGATCCTACTAGTGAAAGATAAGAATGTCTTGGTTGGTCTTCGATCTAGATAAATACAATTATTAATTCCACTTCATCCGAATTGATATTTATTTCTTGAACAATAAAACTACGAAACACATAATGCCATTTCTATCTATATATCTTCAAACTGATGAAATGAAAAGCGGATCTAGGTTTAGCCTTTCATATATTATCTTCACTACCCTTTATCTACATCTCTATTATCTTCACTAGCTATGTGACTAAAGCACCTTTGCGAAGGCCACTACGTGACACTATGCATTGTACCAAAGTCAACCCAATTTTGTGTATCGACAAATTGAATTATTGAGTTCTAGTGGTATTCATAGTGGTGGATAATAGTTTAGGATTTGAATATAAGTAACAGGGAATTATATATAAAGGTTTAGCCTTTGTTATATTCTGTATAATGTTAGGCATATTAAATAAATTTGTTCATCAAATGATGTGGCACCAATCAAATTTGAATCTCATTCTGTATAATGTTATAAAGGTTTAGACTTTGTTACATTCTGTACAATTGCACGCACCCAAATTTGTATCTCATCCCGTAGCTTTTAGTAGTTTAGAATATTATCAAAAAAACCCATCCATATTGTATTACAATAATCCTCTTACTTCCCCCATTTGGCAAGGATAAGTAGTGACAGTAGGAGTTGACCACTCACATTACCAAAATAATTGGAGCACAAAATAAAACAAATGAATTATATGCTTGGGAGATAAGCTTCTAGTCTTAGGTCAAATACATATATATTACGAATAATTGAATGCATGTTTCTGCAAGAGTTGCGTACTTCATTCAACCACATGATGTGCATTGGAGAAGGCTTCCTTATCTGTATAAAGCAGGCATTTTATATTCACAAATGCAATCAAATGATCCCAATCATTTCAAATAAACAATTCTCACATGAGATCATAACCTAACCAGCCAATTCCACGGTATACCAAGTCTACCCTGAAGAATATATCAAGTCTACAAAGAACTCGGCAGAAATCAAACCTAAGTTCATAAGTTTCTGTGAGGAAATAAGTATCTTTCACCACTAATTTAGGTGTATCCTCCTAATGTTCGATTCCTAACTGCTGGTAGTGCCCCTTCTTTGAACTGGTTTGTAAAGCACAACTGTAACAAATTTTGAACGAAAGCGATGAGTGAACCCAAGTGCGACCACAGATTGTGGGGTCTCCTGTTTCTCAATGTAAAGATGGTTGAGTGTCAAGTTTTGCGGTAAGGGAAGAGTTCCAGTAGTGTCTGCACTTGCTGGGTAACTAAGTAACGTCTGTTGTAGCTGTGGAGGGACAAGAGGTGGATCCTGGGCCTCGTCTTCATTCCCTGGGTACACATTGTTGTAACTTGCATCGGGTGATCTTAAAACTTCAAATCCTGCAACAGTTGCTTCATCCTGCACACAAAGTGTTAAGGTTGCCCTATTTTGTTTGTGTAGACAATAAAATCACTAATGTTCCAAAGACTTACATAATCATCACCAAATGAGTTGTTCATGTTGGAACGGGAACTAGCAGGCACAAGATCATCAACAGATGAAGATTATATGACTAATGACCTGAAAGAAAGTGGTCTACTTCCATGAGACTCGCAGATACGCTAGCAGTGCATGAACATGCAAACATAGGAGTCTAATTGCAGACCAAGAAGAAAGCCAGAAAATTCTACCATTTACTGCAACATGTTAAAGTCCAGGACAAACAACAGAATGGCTATGGGACCCATGTATATTATTCAATTTTTACTTTCTGATACTAAAGAAATCTAATCTGATATAGTTGCAAAGAAAACTAGAAATCCTAATTTGCAGAGTCAAAATCCTATCAGCTTTATATAATTATTTCACTTTAAATGTAACCACACCCTTACAGTATAATATCCCTCTCACTTAGAGTAGAATATCGTTGTATCAAAACCACACCCTTTTTTTCCTCTTACACACCCTTGTTCAATCATGTTCGTTGTTTTCGTTTTATTTAATTATAGATTATTAGTTTTGGGTCAAGCAGTCTAATGGTTTAGGACAGAAAAACTAGTGGAAAGGACCAAATGTTGCAACTCGGGATTAGTTTGAGCACCATAGCAACTTTTATGCCAAGTTCAGGGACAAAAATGCAACTTAAGGTATAATTCAAATACCATATCTACAATTTAGCGGTCAACTTTTTTACATAAATCTAAGATATGTTCTAAACTACAATTATAAACAATAATATGTGCATCATTTCTTACATTTAGAAGTGGATATGCCTAAAGTAAACAAATACAAGTCACATATCTGCATCATTTGAATAGCATGAATCATGGATATGTATATGATTTATATATACACTCCCCAACCACATTGAAATGGCAGTTTGATTGATGCCGGACCTTTTCAAAGTAAGCACCATTAATGATTGCCACACTGATGATGTTGCAGAAAGATTTATGGAGGGTAGTTTCAGGAAATGGGATAAATGATTTAAAGGAAAAACCCAATGGTTCAATGTACTTCTGGAGGAAATTTCTAGGTTGATCTCTAAAACTTGGAAATAGGCCGCTGGCCATAGTAATACAATTTCAAACTTGTGAAAATTTCTTTGACCATATATCTTAATTTATGAAAGAAACAAATTTAAAAACAAATCCGAACTTAAGAAAGGACCCCAAGATCACTATGAGATCCCATCCAAGCAAATACCAGATAAAAAGAAAAGTGAAGCAACTGCATATTAAAAATTTCTTTGTGAAAAAAACGAAAGAAAAGAACAGTACAATCCCTTTTCAGTAAAGTTTCTCATCACCAGACCAGACTTAACCCAAATCAACACTTTAATGTATAGACCAACTATTTCTCACCCTCTAAGATTCTTCCAAGGATGCAGTGATGGACTTCACTCATCACTGACACTGCTTCTGAAATAGTGAGGAAGAGCAAAACTCCAGTCTCGTTACATAAAAAATTCAATAAATGAAATCACCAGGACAGGTCCAGAAGGCGCAAATTTTGAAAAGACAACTCGTGCAACTGCACATTCAATGAAAACTCAGAAAATCATACAGAGAAAAATTGAATGAATTGGAATAAGATTCCAGCAATGAAGTGTCTGATGTGGCCCAACTATTTAAGAGGTGGTTAAACTTCATAATTTTTGTCTACAGGACTGAAGGTGCATGTCTCTTTCAGTTATTTGGCTTGACTGGCAAGCTGTTATCTCTTAGTTTTGTTGTGGGAGAGCCTCTTAGTTGGTTTTCTTCATTTTGGTTTTTCTGTTTTTGTAGTGGTCTCCTTGAAAACTGTTTCTGTTTTGTAATTTTGTTCCATTTGTTTGCAATAAAATGTCTCTTTCTCAAATGAAGGACTGAAGGAGGATAGATGCCACCTTCATGAGCTAGCCCTAACTATAAATGTTAACATACAAAATTTCAAAAACAAATAATTGTTAGAGCTGACGATCAAAAAGTTTTTCCCTTACTCAGCTAAAAAGTGTTAAGCAAATCTGTCACAAGCTTCTTACATTGCCCAGGTAAAAGTATTTATCTGAGATGGTTTAGGTAAAAATTCATTGATGCGCAGTAGGCATTGCCTCAAATGTACACTTTAACAAATAACAACACATATTCATTAAAAAATAAGTACAAAAAGGCCTAGTTACAGCATTGAGGAAGCTTCAGTTCAATTAGAAATCTCTTGTGCAGTTAAGAAAGGGAAATTAGTGCCTTTAGTTCAATAAAGTATTTACTTTTTCTTCTTTTTTTTGAGATACAGTAAAGCAATTCTTTATATAATAGATACAGAAGAAACTAGATTAGACATTGGATCAGTGGTTGCCATAGAGCTAACAGGAGCAGATCGCAACAGAAAGAATGAAGGATACAGAAAAAATGATGGTAAGTTTGTAGAGTTATACAGGGATCGTGAAAAAGCACGTACACTCACACACATTACTCAAACAAACACATAAGTACACCAAACCAAACAATATCAATAAGTAATACACTACAAGAAAATCTACACAAAACTTCCATATGCAATCTTCTAGCTAACTGCATAACATTGTATATCCTGCTATTTTCCCCTTCATATTTTATTGTAATATTCAGTACCAACAATGAAAGCCTCAACATTAAGAAAGCAAAACCAAACCTATGGAGCTATTGCTCTGAAATATTACCCAAATCCTCCTATTAAATCATCTTTTAGTGTAAATATGGAAACAGTAAGCTCATAACCAACAAGGTATCCGCTACGAACTCTAGAATTCTTGGAGCAAACTAAATACTAAAGTTCCTAAATTCCTACAACCACAAGGCCTAACATCTAACACAATTTACAACTGGAAGGTCATCTTTGAGCCCAAATGAATTCAGATCAAACAGACAAATGCACGCACAACCGCTGAAAATAGAATTCTTTGAACTAAAGCTAACCTATATATCCTCGGGAATAAATGCTATACTCTAAGAATGTAACCACTTTGATTTGCCTTTTTCAAGGGTATGCATAATGGCATTTCTTATTCTAGTTCTGCCCATACATAGCACTCATCGGCATCCATTTTTATAAATTGAAAGCTTAATCTTATACTCTTGTTTTAATTATTTCAATATCTGGGTCATATATTGTTCTTTTATGAATTGTACAAACGAAAGAAGAATCATCCTGCAGGGAATTATATCCTAACACGATTAAACGGGGAAAATCCATAAGATTAATCAACCTCACCAGATATCAATATGCCGGAAATTGCATTTCAAAGAAGAGACTTACCTGATTGGAGTGAAGCTCCAACCTTTAATCACCAATCAAAAACTTGTCAGTGCCACCTTACTCCTGGAACCAATTAGAAGACCCAACACTTCATCTGGCAAAATCAGGCAAACCCAGATAGAATCAAAGGCAACCCATCAGATATTTTACCAAAACAGAACTACCCAATATTCTAAAGGCTGCAAATTTTATGGATAAATCACAAAATGAAAAAACTTTACGGCAGAGCAAACCCAGTTTGGGAATAAGTTCAATTCAGTCCCATACAAGAAGACCTACGGTGGGATTTCAAGGTAAAAGCAAACTGGAAAGAATCCAAGAAAATCTTTACCTGATTGAAAATTTATACTGAAAAGGGTTTGAAAGGGGGGCAGGGGATGTTGGTTGGAGGAAATGGCTGCAGGAAATCCAGCTCGAGGGACTTTCTTCTAGGAGATTCCGCCAGGCTGGTCCGCAGCGCTAAGGAAAAACAAAAATTTCAAAAACAAAAATACAAGCATGCTGTTCTTGGTTTTTTTTCAACAAAATATATTATCTACGCTAAGAGCTAAGAAAAAAATAAGTGAGTTTAGCTTCACAATTAGTTAGAAATAATATAGTTTAAATTCGTATTTGGTGAGAATCCAACCTAAAACGGAAGACCTCTTACTTACAAATAAAGAGTAATATCACTAGACCATAGTAGTAAGTAAATTTTCCTTCAAATTTTTAATATGAAAAGGAAAATTACAACACCGAACTTCTCGGGCAAGAAGGGGTCCTCACCCTAATGATTTTTTAGCCAAAATGACCTCTGAAATTGTTATAATTTTTTACTTTGTCATTGATAATGAAAATTGATTGAAGGGGTCTCTGAATTTGTCCGCCGTAATTTCGTAAATCATTTTTGTTTCTTAATATCCTCGTTAAGTTGAGGGATTGGTTTGACAAAAATACGCTTTAAAATGTGGTCACATGGTTATTCATGACAATTTAACGAGGATGTTAACAAATTTTCACAAGACCAAAATGATTTACGGTGGACAAATTCAAGTACCAGTTCTATTGATTTTTATTGTTATAAACCAAAGTTAAAAGTTATACGAATCTCAATATCATTTTGACTAAAAGAACTGGCCAAGTTTTAGAATAATTAAGAAAATGACATAATGTAGTAGAGCATTTGCAACGAAATTGGCATCTTGAAACATGAGAGGAGTGAACATAATGTTCTCAAAGAATTGAATTACGTTGGAGTGAGTCCGAAAAACCGAAAAAACTGAATCGTTTACCAAATTAAAACGAAAAAAAAAAAAAAAAAAAAGACAAATCAAAACCAAAGAAACCGAACTGAACCGAAAGCTATTGGTCGGTTTCAATTTTAGTGGTTCAGAAATTAAATCGTAATTAAGTGCAAAATGGCGTCATTTTGGTTTTTACCCTTAACCCGCCATCCCACGTTTAAAATTTCTCAGCGCAACAAGACCCAGTCGCCCACACCTCACTGTGTGGACACTTCCTCACCCTCACTCCTCACTCCTCAACGTGACAACGCAGGTCGCCCACCTCGACGGACAATTCTTCCTCGTGACTTGTGGTGCTTGCCTGCTCTGCTTTTAAGGTCAGATCATTAAGGTATTCCTCCATCCTCATCTCGCTTGCCTTCTCAGCTTCGAATTCGGAATTAGAGCTATACAGGGGTTCCTCCTCAAATCATCAAATTTGTCTTCTCATAAGAAACACAAAAGTTGTTCCAAGTGTTATTGCATTTAAGAGTGTGAAGTTTGTGCATGGTTATTCACTGCTAATGTTGAATATTTATGTCCATAAATTGAGTTGTTGAAGACGAAGCTCGGTTAAAAGCAAGGCCTCAAGCTCAAGCTCAATGAAATCAATTAGTTCTCGTACTCGAAGAACGTCATCTACCTCATCGCAAGTACGTAGCGATCTATATAAACAATTTAATTCGTAACAAGTATTTCTTAGGACTCAAATTGTTTAATGTAATTGATTTGTTGTAGGCGGACAATGTCGTCGAAACCTATGCCTCAATTCTCCAAGGAGGCACCTCAACAAGTGCCTAGTCCTCTTGGTGGATGCGAAGAACGCTCTTGGGCGACTTGACGAGGAAATAACTCAAATGAGCAAGTAAATGAAGATAAGATCTCTTGGTACAAACTACAAAGTAAACAAAGGGTCAGTGGTTTGGGATCGCTTTGATAGGAAAGATGTATAAGCTATAACAAAAGAAATGGTTCATGCATTGCCTAATCCAAGAAAGTGAAGAAATCTATGAAGGGTACGCACTTGAGAAGCTTCAAAAGGATTCAGTACACAAGACAAGGCATGGGGAGCTAAAACTCCATTAGAACTAATTCACACTGAATTTTTGCAGACCCATGAGGACCTCTAAACAATTGAAAACATGTATTTCTAAATCTTCGTGGAAGACACCCACACCCGAGCCACGTGAAAAACACTCCTCACAGTAAACACTCCTTTCTTTTCAAAATGCCACACCAACCTGCCGTCTGGCTTCCTAACATTCAAGGGAATGGAACGCGTCAGGTCAACCTCAAAATCTGAGAACAAGGAGCCCATTTAGGACACATTTCATTTTTGAGGCTTGTCTTCGATTAGGTCTCGGTCATTGACGATATTACACACATCCGGCTTAGGTGTGAACACCTTGTAAGAGGAAGCAAAAGGCGGCCACCTATCAGTCCAGGTGTTGATCGAATCACCACTACCCACTTAGCACCTGGATCCTCTTTCGATGATGGTTCTAGCAGCACAAATGCTTTTCCAGCAATAGGAAGCATTGCTTTTCACAGAGGCATCCAAAAACGAAGAAGTGGGGTAATACTTAACCCTCGCTACGAGAGAGGAAGGATCACAGAGCAATCTGGTCAATTGATTTTATTAATTTGAAAATAGAGTTTTTGCTAAAATACACCAAAATTTCGGGTTCAAACCAAATTATCTATTTAATAATTGATATCATACTTGTCATGTTATATTAAAATTATGGTATTAAAAGGTGCTAGCGCTAGTCGGGCAGTGAACTCAAGCTTAGCGCCTAGGCGGCTAGACGAGACCTAGGTAGTTTTGGAAATTTTGAGTAGAATTTCAGTGTTCCCCATTGCGCACCACCAAAAGATCTCATCACTTTATAAGGCTTTGTCCCTTATAGAAAGTGATTTGAGTGATAGACCATAAAGAATAAAATTGAGCTCAGCCTTGGAGTTGGGCTTTGGGGTGTATTAATTAATTGATAATTAATTATCAAAATACCTTAGGCCTTAGGGCTCTTGGGCTTGGGCTCTAATAATTAAAAGCAAACATCCCTCTGAGAAGATGTCTTCCAATAGATGCATTCATTCTCCATACATGTTGTGAATAGGCATAATCATATTATATATACATCCATTTGCATGATATTTAGAACACATAAAAACATAATTCTTCTTCTACAATCCAAAGCATTATTATTGAGAGAACCATAAACAAATTCGCCAGAAGTTAAGTTTTCTGGTGCTGGAATTTTAACTTGATCGTTGAATCCTAGCGAAACAGACATCCGTAGAACTACAAGCACTGAGTAGGGACGAAATATCTGTTGTAAGGACATTGCAGGACGCGAGCCTTGATCTTTAGTTTTTTCTGTTTAATATTATTTCATGTTCATACTCTGTTAAGTTAGTTGTTCGCATTCATCATTTATTAGCATATAAAAATTTATCACACATTGTTGATATCTATCCAACAATCTTGAAACAGATAATTCATGGATCAACAATCGTGAATGTGAATGGCGCTGTGTCAAAATACTCTGAAAGTCTGAAAAGTTCAAAGGGCTAGATTTTAAGAGATGGCAACAGAAGATGTTGTTTTTCCTAACAACTATTAATCTTGCTCATGTTGTCAAGAAAGAAGCTCCGAAGTCTAAGAGAATCCAATGACAAAAGAGACTGTCATGGCAATTAAAGTTTGGAATCACTCTGAGTTTTGTTGCAGAAATTATATTCTGAATAGTTTGGATGACAATCTCTATGACATTTATTCTTTATACAAGACTAAAAAGGAGTTTGTGGGAATCCCTAGACAAAAAGTATAAGATTAATGATGTTGGTTCAAAGAAATTTGTTATCGATAAGTTTGTCAAATATACTATATTAGATTCAAAATCTGTTGTCTCTCCGGTCGAAGAAATCCAGAAATTGATCTATGAACTGCACTCCGAGGGATGCGAGATCAATGAACATTTCCAAGTTGGGGCGATAATAAAGAAATTGCCAACTTCCTGGAATGACTTCAAAATTTATCTCAAACACGAGCGTCGTGAGATGAATATGGAGGATTTGATTATGAGGCTAGGAGTGGAAGAAGACCACAGAAAGGCAAACTGTTCTGGTGGGTTTGCTGCCATTGAAGCCAATGCGAATTATGTTGAGAAGGAAACTCTGAGGCCAAGCCGAAGAAGAATAAGGCTCCCAAAACCAAGCAATTTGTACAATCTACCCTTGCTCCTAAAGGTAAGAATCTAAAGAAGAGTAAGGGCGCCTGCTATGTGTGTGGCAAATCTGGTCACAAGGCACAAGATTGTTATCATCACAAAGATGGAAATCATGCCAACGGAAACAACAACAACCATGCTAACATGGCAATCACTGATGAAGAGTTGGTTGTTGTTGTGTCTGAAGTCAACATGGTCTCGAATATGAGTGAATGGCTGATGGATACTGTTGCTACCAAGCACATCTATGCTGACAGAAATCTGTTCACTGAATACCATCCTGCTGCCCCTGGAGAAAAGTTGTATATGGGCAATTCTACCTCATCTACAATGGCTTCGTGAAAGGGTTATGTGGATTTATGTCACCACAGATGTGGTTGATGGCCTCTTTGTAATTACATTGAGTTTCATAAGGCCATCAACCACATAACCCTTTCCAAAAAATGAGGCAGAATTGCCCATATACAAATCCACATAGACCTTTTTCACAGAATTGCCCGTAAAAGTGGCACTCAAACTCAATGTAATTGTCATTGATGATGCTAATAAAATAAATGCTTCTACTTATTTTGTTGAGTCTTCTAATATTTGGCATGCTAGATTAGGATATGTTAATTTTTGTTCCATGCAAAGAATGGTTAAATTAGAATTATTACCTAAATTCGAAATTGATTTTAATTATAAATGTGAAACATGTACTGAATCGAAATTTGCTAGGTAAACAAGAAAAATTTTTTTGGAAAGATCAAATGAATTACTTGGATTAATTCATAGTGATCTTTGTGACTTTAAATCCACACCAACTCGTGGAGGAAAGAATTATTATGTCACTATTATTGATGATTGCAATAAGTATTGCTATGTTTATTTGATTCATAGCAAGGACGAAGCTTTGAATATGTTTAAGACATATAACGCTGAAGTTGAAAATCAACTTGAGAGAAAAATCAAAGCACTTAGATCTGATAGAGGAAGAGAGTATGAGTGTACTGCCTTCTCACATTTTTGTGCA